AACATTTTATATAAATATAATTTTACAGATAATTAATGGTTTATTCTGTTGATTAAAACTAATGTAGAATGTTACTATGACATAAGTATGTCCAATTTGACAAAAATATCATAGCTCTCTTTACAATTTATTAACTATTTCTCATTTATTACTAAAATAAACAAATCATAAATAATACATTGCAAGTACTGTCAAAAGAGATTGCAACAAACTTTAAAATAATAAAAATCCAGTGATTTTTGTAATTTTTTTTAGTGACATTACCATTAAACATTATTCAGAATAATAGATGTGTCCAATTACAACTCTTACCAAAGTTGTTTATATCTCATATCAAAGTTGTTTACATTTCCTTTTCAAAATTGTATCACATATTGCAATTATGTATTTTATGTAGTGTTATTTTTGAAATGATAGTAGTCTAAAATTATTTATATCCATCTGTTTTAAAAATTGTTTAGATCTCTTAATATTATTTAACTACATGGAAACTCAACTTTCCAAATACATAATAACGTGTCTTAAGGTAAAACTTGAATTATTTTCTTTTTCTAAAGATTAAAATGCTGAAATTTTATATTAAAACACATTTAGGCTAGAACGGCTCTATTTGGTGAGCAATAGGAAAGGCAAATTGCAACCCGCTTGTCGTAATATTTTTATAGATGGGTGAGCAATCTATAATATGTATATCATTCGGCGTCTCATAAAAGTCAGTGGATGAATGACATTTCGACTGACATAAAGCTAAAAAGAATTATTATTATTCCCAATCTTTTTTATTAATTTACATTTTTTAAATGTTATTGTAATACTTTTAAATTCAGTGTTACTAAATACCGATATTTTGACATTGGATACACTTGTACAACTTTACAATTTATTGTCACTTAGCCATTTAAATCTTTTTCTTAAAATGTATATACATGTCCAGATTTTAATAATGTTTTACATTTTATATCATTTTGACCATGTACTCGATTGTTTGGTACGGGCCGGTATCTATATTTAACTATATTTAATATTTAAAAAAATATCCTTTATTATTTACTTGCAATGTTTACCCCATTTAATTCTAAAATTAAACACTAGAGAGGGCTAACTTCGGCAGTAGTGCTGGGGTGCGTTCAGAAATGGAGAGCGTCAAATTTTCAATCGTCCGGACAAAATTCGTCGGAACGTTTATTTTTGCCCGATAAATATGAACGGTAAGTGCAAAGTATTGTTAAATCAAGTTTTTGGTTATGTCTTTTCTGTTATCTGAGATTGTAAGGAATTATCAAAAATTAGTAAATATGTAACACCATTGACGTCCACATAGACTTTTTTATGTAAAAAGTCAATTCATTACCTTTAATCCTGTGTCATAAAATTTTATCGTTTTCTGTAATGAAATTACCATCGTTTCCGACAACTAGACGATCATTGATGGAATTAATTCTCTCACTCATACTCATATTTAAATATTTTTTACTTAAAATGTAAAAATAAGAAATTAAATACTAGGTGGTTCTCTTAGGTTAATTAGGGTTATGACATACTACGCAAGTCGAGTAAAAATTACACTACTCAACAAGGTGGGTAAAATTTCTTCATCCCGACGCGTCTTTCTTTTAAATAAAAACGGCTGGGGTAATTCGTCCAGATAAAACGTTCCACATTTAGGAACGCTTTTTAGAGTTTAGACAACGTCCGGACGCGTTTACCCTACATTTCTGAACGCACCCCTGCCTCCATATTTCACGCACGGTCCCTATTATACTCTAAGCGTTACAACTTAATTTGTACGATGTGCGGGTTGATACAGAATTTGTTCCAACTAAAAAATGGATGATTCCGGAATCGTTTCTGTACCGTTATATCGATTGACAAATTTTTGTGGAACTGTTAGACCTGACTTGCACATAGCGTTTTGATGTTTTAATAGGTAGATAAGATCAAGATATACATTTTCATTTAGAAAATACTGTTTATAAATCATAATATTTGGAAAATGAGTGATATAGACAGTGATTTTTTGATACTTTGATACTAATAACGATGATTTAGAATTAATGGTAAACCAAGAAAGGATGAAAAACAAAAATTATTTGCACAGAATATATTCATTATTTACCATTATTTTCCATTGTGCCCTAGAATCTAGAATGATAAAATAAAAAATCAATAAAACAGAAAACTATTTAATTTTCTTTTCGAAAAAAGTTTGGCTAAATTCACGTTGGAATTTTCTATTTTCTCTATTTATGGACCATCAACAGTTTTGAAAGCGTCCCAACTTCCAACTCATTTCCGAATCCAAAACCATTCAGAGATGCGCTTGCGCAGTACATCGTTCATGAATTGATGTTGGTATGATACAAGAACTGTACTAAACACCAAGTTGGAACAAACCTATTGACTTACTGTCTGGAACATTGAAGCGCGCGTTTTAAATTTGCTTGAATTTTTTGGAATTTTTAAAAATGTTTAAAAATTTGAAAAGAAAAAAATTAAAAAATATATTTTGTGCTCTTTTAGAAAAAAAACTATTTTTGAATTTCACTAAACACGTCCGTTAAAATGGTAAATATGCCGGCACCAGAAAAGTATTTGCTATCTCTGCTGTTTTCATTTGAATTTAATTCAATGACTGTTGCGGTGTTAGCCAAAGGAATAGTTGTTTTCTTGAGGGAAATGATCGCTCTTATTTATGTAACATTGGCTTCGAGTTTTATTATTATTATTTAATTTTAACAAAATAAATCAAAAATTTTGTTAAATATTATAAAATCTAATATATAAAATTCTCCTGTCACAATGTTCGTTCCCATACTCCTCCGAAACGGCTCGACCGATTCTTATAAATTTTTTATGCATATTCAGTAAGTCTGAGAATCGGCTATTATCTATCTTTCAAACTCCTAAGTGTCCACCCCAATTTTTTTTTTTTGGATATTTTTTTTAATTTTTTTATTATGTGGCATTAAAAAATACATACAACCCTTAATTTTCAACCCCCTAAATGTTAAGGGTGGTCCGCCCCTAATTTTTTTTTATTTTTAGACAAAAATTTTTTTTATTTTTTTATGATACAGCATAATAGAATCCTTAATTTTCACCCCTCTACGATCAACCCCCATTTTTTATTTGTTAATTAAAAACTTTATAGTTAACATATTCACCTCTGCTGAGCAAAACATTCAATGCTCATAATAATGTTGAGTCATGCAGTTCGGTGAAGAGTATCAAGTATGTGAATAAAGTAAGTGATATGGCTGTATTTAGAATTTAAAATACTAATGTAAATGCTCCTCCGTTGAATCAAAATGATGAAATTACGAATTACCAAATTGGCCGGTATATCAGTTCCAATGAAGCTGTATGGCGTATTTTCGGTTTCCCAATTCATGAACGGGATCCAGTATTTAACCATTTAGCTGTCCATCTTGAAAACGGCCAGCGCGTATATTTCACGAACGATACAGCGCATGATCGTGCTATAAATCCACCAAAAACTACGCTCACAGAATTTTTGAACTGTGCAATCGTGATAGTACAAAATGAATAATTATTTTTGATGTTTAGACAGCTATCAAGAATTGTAATTTAAAATATATTCGTTACTTTAATAAAGATTAATTTAATAACCTAAATAAAGCATACTTTCATTGTTTACAACGCTTTCGATTATAAGTACATCCCCGCACACTTATAGTAGATAATTATTTTTATTGAACTAAAAAAACGTTTCCTAGAAATAATATACATGGCAAAACAACGTTTGCCGGGTCAGCTAGTATATATACAAGGTGGCGCAAAATAAAGTCCCCTATTTGTTTTTTATATAAAAGTAAGATTAATTAAAAAAAATCATATTATAGATGAAAAATATTTATTTAAACTCTAAAAATTTGTTTTGTTACACACTAAAAACAATATCGATCAAATGGCCACCCCCAGCATTAATGCAATAATGAGCTCTACAAAATCGATCAAATGGCCACACCCAGGATTAATTCAATAATGAGCTCTTTTTAAAGTATTTTTCATAACTTTCTCCAATATTTCAGGTGGTATTCTGTCAATTTCTTCCTGAATGTTGTCTTTTAATGCCTGTAGTGTTCGAGGATTATTTACAAATACCCTATCTTTGAGATAACCGCATAACCAAAAGTCTGGAACAGTTAAATCGGGAGATCTTGAGGGATGCAATATCGGCGTTTTTCGAGATAAGGCGTTCAGGAAAAATTCTGATAATCGACGAATTATTTTGATAAAAAAATGTTACGATTTCGGCACGTTCTCGATACGTATATCGATTCATAATGAATTTCCCAAGTATCTACTTTGCAATTGACAGAAAAACTCGAACAGATGTCAACTACAAACGAAACCATGACAACATTGCATTGGGTACTTGATTTTGCGCCACCTTGTATATATATATTTTTAAATATTTAAACATTATTTTCATCCAAGCAACGCTTAAATATATGTTTTTCAACGTTTTCGTCAAAAGTAGTATTTTTCAACCCCTAAAATAAGAAGTACACATCAGTAACATAACTTTTCAAGAGGAGGGCTCAATTACAAATTTTCATCAATATCTGTGTAGTCCGAAAGAATTTTTACCTTCAAACACTGGACTATTAAAACTCTGTTGAATTGGTTAGCTATTATTTTAATTTTATTTTCTTTGTTAGTATAACAAATATTGTATTTTAACTTTGTATATTGGTATTCGGTTGAGTAGAACAGCTGTTAGTCAGCTGGTTTTCGCCGAGTATTATAAACTAAAGACCTATTAATATTATTACGGAAAATATTTTCTTTTCTAAAATTAGAGACATCAGATCTTTTTAGTTACCTTGATTTTTCTATTCACACGTACAATACCTTTCTTACCTATTATATTCAATAATGAACGAACCATATAACTAAATTGGTCCTACAACTTTTAATCTATTCGACAATTTATAAAATTATATTGTCAACTGTTTAAAATTGTTATTACTTACTTTATCCGGCAGAAGGACACAATGCAACGTTGCCAAAAGAGACCAGCCCTGCTTGATTTGTGCCTGTTGTTGAGTAAACATTTCCTCGTGTTCTTCATCAGTTTTCGACCAATTTACTCTTGTCGACTGTCTAATAAATTAAATTAAATAAAGTTTAAATTATCAACCAAAGATTTTATTTCAATAGATTTATTAATAATTCTTTACATAATGTAAAGCGGAATATTTGTCATGATACAAGTACATAAATATAAAATGTTTAATAAGAAAACGTATTATGAAAAAGAAGGAAGGAAGCAACTTCATAACACTATTTCAAAATGAGTAAGATTTCTATTAATAATTATAAAAATGAATTTGTTGAGTAATGGTGGTTACCAAAGAAAACCCCGCGAGATTACTGTCATAATATTTATAGTTAACCCTCTCTCTACAGCAGGGATTCCCAAAATGGTCGATTCCCACCCGTTGGGGTCGAAATCGGTTTCCCAGGGGTCGACATAAACGAAAAATGATTTTGGGGGTCAACAAGTTCTTATTGGAAACTTTCAAGATACTGTATAAGTTGTGTTACGTGTACCAACTTGTTATAAGAATTACTAATATTTTAGTAGGAAACTCAACAAGTCGATAAGCGTGCACAAGTTCGTACAAGATGAAAAACTTAGCAAGTCAATAAGCATAGACAAGTTCGTGCAAGATAATGAGTTCGAGCGTACAAGTCTTTCAGTCACGTTTTGACCGAAACAAAGCGGAAGTGGGCAAAAATCGCGGTGTCGTAAATTTAATAAAACTATTTATGATAAAAATAATTGGTTGTGTGGTTGCGAAGAAACTAATAAACTGTTTTGTTTTGTATGTGTTTTGTTTGGAGGCACAGACGAACTTGTCCATATATGGGATAAAATGAAATCCTATGAAAAATCTAAAATGCACATGAATAATGTTTTTAGCTTTTCCATGCTTGGTAAGTTAAATATAAAAACCCAGTTAAATTCTGCTTATCGTGATGCTCTAATTAAACATAATCAACAAGTGGATAAGAATCGATATGTTTTAAATCAAATTATAAATTGTATAAGGTTTTGTGGAGTTTTCGATTTAACTTTAAGGGTTCACGATGTGAAAGATAATTCGGAAAATAGAGGCATATTTAAGGAGCTGATGAATTTTAGCGCCGAATAGACAACGACTTAAAGGTTCATATTCAAAGTTTAAAAGCTTTCAAAGGTACCTCAAAAACAACCCAAAATTAACTTCTTGAGTGCATGTTAGATGTTTACCACGAAGAAGTTAGGAAATAAATAGAAAATTCTCCTTTTGTTGCAGTGATTGCCGATGAAACGACGGACGTATCTTGTGAATTTCAATTAGTTATAGTTTTCAGATATTTGTGTAAAGGACGACCAGTTAAGAGATTTTGGATGTTTTACATGATCGATGGATACGAAGCCAAATCAATCACTGAATGCATTTTAAATGTTTTACATCCATTACATCCATTATTAAAGCTGTCCAGCTGTCAATTTTATTAAATGAAGAAGGTTTAAATTGTTCATTTCAGGAAACTCTTAAACTTTTAGGTATTTTGATAACAATACATATGTCAACATCTGAAGCAGAGCGTACGGATTAAACCATTCCTCAGAAATAGAATGAAGGAAGAAAGACTTAGTGCTTTAGGTATGTGCAGAAAATCATTTTGTAAATAGAATTGAAAATTTTAATAATAAAGTAATTGAAAACTTTGCAAAATTTAAAACTAGTATATCAAGCAACTTTGTACGCGTGTGATTTATTTGGTATATGGGCCTAAAGACTCCTTATGGTAATAACAAACTGCAATGACTTTCAGCATTAAGTTAATTTATAATTTTTAATTAATTTTACAGAGTTCTTTGATAAGTTTTGAGTAATTTATTGGCAAAGTTTAGGATAAGACTAACCCTGACGGCCTGTTTCGTGGCAAAACTTGTGTTAGAAACCTCATAAATAGTAGTCATATAATATAAAAGTATTCGTCCTTCATTTATTTTTTAATTAAAATTTTATATCTATTTTAAAAATACCATGATAAATTTTTGCCCAAAGCCAGTTTTTTAAACGACTTTTGGTTAAAAATTAGGCGTGGCACCCGGTAATTTTTCCCCCCTGGTGGGGGGCCACCGACAGGGCGCCTCCGGAGGGGTTTTCACATTTGTTAAAAATCTGGCACTACCATCTCGTATTATCACGAGCCGCCACTGTCCCTCATAAGGCATATTGGAGCCCACTGGAGCATATGGAACCTAACTCTCAACTTGTCAAAACCAGCCAACTTCTCAGCTAATCAAAATCCCTGCAGGTTTAAACTCGTCAAAAACTTGTTGGTTGACGCTGAGTAGTGTCTACAGACAGCTTCTAAGCTTGTCAAAGTGCTGCTGGTTGTCACTGGGGGATGTCTAGGGATAGCCAGCCTCTCACGTCAAAGTCCTGCATGTTAATAACGTCGCCAAGAGTTGTCCTTAGATGCCCCATTTTTGGGAAGTGGCCATTTAGTGGGCTTCTACCACCCCGATGGGAAATGCTCATTCTTTAAAAAAAAAAAAATGCAAGACAGATAGCCCCGGAGCAATTGAAATCTAATCAAACCAACATACCAATTTTTAGCTTTATTCTAATTATTCACATGTCTCCTGGTCTAATAGGTAAAAGTTTAAAGAAATTCAAGACTTCAGCGAGGGATTCAAAAAAGTGAAAAAAACTAGAAAAATAAGTAATTAGAGGTCCGGTACTCGATAAGAATATGAAGGATAGATAAGAACAGAAGGATTTCAATACCTGTGTAACTTGCGGTTTCTTTCTTGCTCAGGAACAAATGTCGCATTACTCATAGACATCAAAGTATGACTCAGAGCAATAATGGCCAATAAATGATTAGTGGTTAACGTAGTGCTTAGTTCCCAATGAGTTCGGGAAGTAAATATCCTTGTAATTTGTTCTTGTCTTATTATTTCCGGTGGCAAACTGTTGGTAAGCGATAAGTCCATTGGAAGTGGTTCTTCATCAACGAGAATGGTGTTATGCCAAGTTGGAAGAAAAAGTGACATGTGGTTGGCTTTGGAAAGAACTCCATAAGAAACTGGAACCTAAAAAACATAAAAATCAATATGTTGCAACTACAATTGCATTCATTGTATTAATCACAAGCGGTATAATAAACAAACATAATGAGACGTTGTCCTTGAAAATTATACATTTCCTTTTATATACGGATAGTTTGGTCTTTAAGTAGTTGAAGTACTTAGCCTTCGAATGACTGACTGTTACAAGAACAGACCTTAATGGTGTGAATTCAAATTTTTAATAATCTACCAAATTTTTCTATATTACTTTTTCAGGTTACTCTAAATCTTATGTACATATACATCACCAGAAGTAAAAGGCAGGTGGTAAATGATGCTAAATTTTGCTCAATGTTTGAAGACAGTTCTTAAACCTTCGAAGTGGAGAATTTTACTGACGTGACATAACGTATAAATAGACACTGAAAGATTTTCTGGAACAGTGGCAGACCAATATTTAGAAGAGAGTAAACTGAAATGACGATTGATACAGAGTTAGATATCTTCGGAAGATTTTCTGGCATAGGTAATTGATACCTACTGATCTCTTCTATTTGTGAACAGATGTGGTATGTGTGGCTCGCTTTTCAGAACACTGAATGACTTAAACCTGAGATACTGCATGATGTGCTTTAGAATGAGCTTGTTGATGCAGAAGAAATTACTTTCTTTGTCTAATTGAGAATGTAGATGTAAATTGTAGTGTAAATAGTTTTGTATAGATTTTATAAGTAAATAACTATAAGTCAGAATCGGTTTAACAAAAATGTGTTTTAAAATTAAATTTTCAGCCTTTGAATACAGTAACAAAATAATTACCTACATTTTTACTTCAAGGCATAAGTTCATGTTTATTTTGAAAAATACGGATGATCAATCTATATAACTATCAATATCATTGACCCTGTCAAATCACCAGACCCACAGGGTTGCCATATCACCTAACCTGTCATTACCCACGGGCAACCATTTTGTGGTGTAAATATGACTTTGATATGTCAGCCTGATATTTTCGTAAAAAATGTAGATGAGTAAAATATGTATTAATTTAGTTTAAGTTAGATTTAAGTAATTTATTTATAGCTGTAAAAATATAGTAATATGGGAATTCCTAAGCCGTCCTTGTAGAGCACGACCTTGAACAGCCAACCAACTCATGATCGAAACACCGCTGAGACGTATAGAGACAAACGCACCGCTTCTCGGGAATTTACCAGAAAAAGCAATACGTAGCCGTTGAGTCATAGAGATGAAATTTTCGGGTGACATTCTAGAGCCTCTGGAAAGCCCATATTATTCTGGTTACAGAGTTGGCTTGATATAAATATCGCGAGTTTGAAGACGGATGAGTAGTTTTGAATAAAGTGTTGGACAGAAAAGTTAAATTGCAATAAATAAATTAGAATTGAGTTAGTGCCTAAGTATTATATAAATTAAATAGTACGTCATAAATAAATTGTAAATAGTGTTCTAAATAAATAAATTAGACTATCGTCACATTGGTGTTAGAAGTGGAACTGTAAATAAATAGTGGACTAAAATGGCTAAAAACTGTGTTAAAAGTGGCCGAATTGCGTCGAGAATTAGAAGAACGTGAACTGAAGACGACAGGGAAGAAATCAGAGCTGTAGAACGACTTAAAAAGCACTAGAAAATGAAGGGTTGGATCCGGAAACGTTTCTATATTCGGATGATGCGTCTTCTATAATTTCTTCAATTTCCGATATGAAAAGCTTTAAAAACTGATATTTCTTGCGATATGTCTTCCATGAAAACCGATATTTCTTCTAATATTTCCTCATTAGAAACTAAAGTTTCTTCAGATGTTTCCTCCTTAGAAAGTAAAGTTTCTTCAGACATTTCTTCACAGTAAAGTTTTTTCCTTAGGAGAAAAGGTATCTTCAAACATATCATCTTTAAAAACCGAAATTTCTTCCGAAACAAATTGTCTTCTCTGAAAAATGAAATTTCTGCTGATGTGGAAAATAAGACAACTTCTGTTAAGGAGAAAATAATGTCTTCCGTTGAAAAGAAAACAGATGGAAAAGAAAACAGATGGAAAAGAAGATAGAAGAACTGGAACATTTAGACCCATCCAAGGACGGTGAAATAAAGTGTTATGAGGTTAAGTCGAAGTTAAAATTGGAAGGAGCTGTAAACTCTGCTCGTGTTAAAGCTCCAACCTTCGACGGAAAGATGTAATGGACCAACTACCTTAAACAGTTCGAGAGAGCTGCGAGAGCAAACGAATGGTCTGAGAGAAAAAAGGCAATGAATCTGACAATCGCCCTTCGAGGACTTTAGATGTCCTTCAGACTGTACCCGTGGAAGAGACAGATGATTTTGAGCAACTCAAAAAGAGACTAAATATGCGATATGGCCACGAACATTTGGAGCATCTATACCAATCACACTTAAAGAATCGCAAACAGAAACGAGACGAGACCCTTCAAGAATATGAAGTAGATATTGCCAGGTTGGTGCGATTTGCCTACCCATCAGCTCCGGAAAACATGATGGAATGATTGGCAGTCCAAACATTTGTTGATGGGCTCCGTGACCACCAGATGCAGGAAACACTTCGCTTAGCCCATCACAAAACATTGATCGATGTCTTGTCCGCTGCTCTATAGTATGAGGCAGCTACGCAGACTTCTGGAAGATACAGTGAGGACTGTAAACGAAGAAAACGTATAAAATAAACTCGACCAACTAGTTAACACAATGAAGAGCTTCACTGATAAAAATATGAAGATAAAGACCATCAGGTGCTGGAATTGCGATGAACTTAGACAGGTACGCAGTTCGTGCAAATGCCCTAGGGTCCCAACAAATGAAGGCAACACGTCGCAGGAAAACTAGAGCGGGTCGGCCTAGAGGGGTCAGCTTCGACCCGAAACCGTTCCAAAGACCCTCTCATACTGATAGCCTCTTTGAAATGTCGCGATGATAGTGTATATGTAGACGGCGAAGTAAATGGTAAAAAGTATACACTGTTGGTGGATACTGGAGCAACTAGGACCATTATACGATCAACAATCATAAAAAACCGTAAGATGCTCATACCAACAAGACTGCGACTACGGACTACCACAGGTGAAAGTGCCAACATCCATGGGGAAATCCAGGTTCAATTGGGAATTGGTACAGAAAAGTTCACTCATACTGTTATTGTCGCTGATATCGAAGAAGATGTTACTTGGAATGGATGTAATGAACTTACATGATTTCCAGTTAGACTTTAAAAACAGAGTGATCAAAGTTGGTGGGGACAGTACCGTGCCAGTTGCTGTGCAGGAGGATATGGTGGTACCTGGAAGAAGTGAAACCGTTATAGTAGCACGTCTTCAAGAAACTATGGAAGAAGGAACATCTGTAGTGATGGAACCTTGGAACCACGATGAAGAGGTTGGACGAGGAATTCTGATTGGAAAGGGCTTGATCACGATTGCTAAAGAGATTCCAGTTTGTCTTATAAACGTTATTGATCACCCAATTACCATCAAGAAAGAGACCAGAATCGGAACCTGTGTACTAGTAACTTCCATAATTCGTCAGACAACAACTTCTGATAATTCCAACGATAAATTCGAGCAAATGATTGCAGTTGCTGGTCAATCTCTGAATCAATTAGAGAAAAAGAAAATAAAGAAATTTCTTCGATGACATCGTGACATTTTTGAACCAAAAGAAGGAAAAACAGGAAGAACTTCTGTTGTAAAACACAAAATTGACACTGGTGACGCCAGGCCGATTCGTCAATCAGCTCGAAGATTACCAAAGGCCAAGAGAGAGGAAGCTGAAAGGATTTTTCAGGAAATGAAGGAAGACAGGGGCCCATGGGTCTCTCCGGTAGTCCTGGTCCAGAAAAAGGATGGAACTACGAGGTTCTGTGTGGATTGCCGTCAGTTGAACAATGTTACCAAGAAAGTTACCCTCTGCCTTGTATCGACGATACCTTGGACACATTGGCTGGAAGTAAACTATTCTCTACCTTAGACTTGAAGTCTGGATACTGGCAGGTGGAAATGGAGGGAAGTGTCTACATTCCTTCTAATTCCAGAGTTGAAATTTACAATGTTCATTGTCGCACTGTAGAATGGTATGAATTCATACCCTGATAATTCTTTGTATCTTATGGGTGATTACAACCTACCACATGCTGACTGGACGCATGAGACGACTTCAGAAGACCATGGCATGTTATCGATTTGTCCGGCCAACTATCCAGCAGAACAGTATCTGAAACTTTCTCATTTTATAAGCTTAAAGAGTTGAATTATATTAGGAATCAAAATAATGTTCTCTTGGACTTCTTTTTTCCTCAAAGATTTGAAATCCACAGTTTTGGTTGAACCTATTTGACCTGTTATTACCTTATAGTTACCATCATAAAGCATTTTTATGCACACTTAATATCGATCATTCGTTTGAAAAACTCAAAACTAATGAATTTTCATTTAAAAAATGCTGACTACATTAGTTTAAATAATTATTTTGCACCGATCAATTGGGATCAACTATTTCATTGTTACATATTGCACACCTTCGTATATCTTTTATAACTTGTCTCAACTTACTTAATATTAAAGAATTGACTTTATCTTACTTTTTAGACATTATTTTCACATACTCAGTATCAGAATTTGTTGGTTTACTAAATCTATAGTTTTTTTTGTGAAATATTCAATGTCTCTGCAGCCATTTGATTGTACCTCTTTCCAAAAACCTCGCAAATAGATTTGAGTCTCTTAAAATAGGAAACTACGTTCAGGATTAAAGTTTTTGATTGATCACTAAATCGTTTCACCATTTTGTTGAATACTTATAAAAACTTTTGAAATAACAAAATGTACAAATTTTTAACAAATTGACAAATTCAAAATTATTTTGTTAACTGCCACCTGACATAATAATGTAATTAATCTACGACGTGCCAAAATCTAGTAACTTTTTGTTTCATCCATTTTACATTTAAACAATAATGAAAGCGAATGGATTTCCGAAACTTTATAATTTGCATA